GGAGAAAAAGAATCCTGGGAGATCTCGTTCTCTCGGGCATTTCAGTGAGCCCCCAGTTCGCACACACACACACACACACACACACACACACACACACACACACTTTCTCTCTGTCAAAAACAAACAAAAAACCACCACCAACAACAAAAAACACTATGGGGGCTGGAGAGAGAAGGCTCAGTTATAAGAACACTGGCTATTTTTGTAGAGTACCTGGGTACAGTTCTCAGCACCCACATGGTGGCTGACAACCATCAGTAATTACAGTTCCATGGGATTTAACAACCTCTTCTGGTCATTGCAGGCATTGCACACATGGGTGCACTTATACATACAGGCAAAGTACTTGTACACATGCAAAATGAAAATAAATAAATTTAAAAATATAAATAATAACATGATTCTTCAGTTGTATAGCTGATGATAAGTTGCCCATTCCCCAGTAACTAATGCTCATCAAAGATTCCTGTGACACAACTGCCTTTAAGGGGTTGCAAGTCACATCACAACTCTCTGAGGGTGTGTGTGGGATGCGGGGGGAGCGTAAGGATTAAACCTAGGTCCTTGAAAATGTTAGAAAGTCACTGACCTTTTCATTCTTTATTCTGACAGTTCAGGATAACAGTGTTGGAGGACTTTTAGTCTCTGGGGAACTCCAAGGAACGTCATTCTATGTACATGATAGACTCTTTGGAAGAAGATGCTGGACCTGTGCTCACCAGGGAAGTGATGACTCTGCTCATTTGATTTTCTTTCATTGACTTAAAAACTGGCCTGTTTCTAATGTTGACTATTCAACCAGAAGCAGAAATGACAAACATTTGAAGGTGGGAATCACTCGTGAGACATTTTCACAAGGCCATGGAATTCATCCTACAGCCCCCTTGCCTCATTAATGGGATGCCCACACATCCTTTATCCTCATGTCATCCACCTCACATCATTCAGGATCCTATTATAGGTGCTCAATCTTGGGAAATGTCTCTCTTAATGTCCCTGAGAAGAGAGAGTACAGTAGGCTAGAAACAGCAGTCTGTGTGTGAAGATTCCACAATGGCTCTTCAGCTGTATGCCACTGTAAGCTGTTTTTAAAAATATATTTATTTTTATTTTATGTGTATGTGTAAGTGCCCACAAGTACAAATGTATACCACATCCATACCTAGTACCCACAGAGGGCAGAAGAAGGCATTCGATCCCCTGGAACTGGAATTATAGATGGTTGTGAGTCACCACCTGACGTGAGTGCTGGCACTGAACCTGGGTCCTCTGTAAGAGCAGAAAATGCTCTTAACCACTGAGAATCTCTCCAGCCTCTGTGAGCTAATTTGTTCATGTGAACCTTTTTGGGTTTTGTTTGTTTTCTTTTTTGGGAAAAAGGGACTCATCCTGTAATTCAGGCCAGATTGGAACTCACTTTGTAGCCCAGGCTGGTCTAAACCCTGTGGCAATCTTTCTGCTTCAGCTCTTGGATGCTAGGATTGCAAGTGCAGTCACATTCAGTTCTGGTGACTCTGTTCCAGCTTAGAAATTCCAACTGCTTTATATGTATTGCAAATCTCCCATTTCATCAGTGAAGAATCAATCACAAAGAGCTGCTTATTGGGCTGGAGAGATGATTCAACAGTTAAGAAAACTGGCTCCTCTTACAGAGGACCCAGGTTTGAGTCCCAGCACCCATATGGTGTCTAATAACCATCTGCAACCCCAGTTCCAGGAACTCTCCCATAACCCCCCTCCACTAGAGCCCATATACTCTGTAATCCCTGTTACTGTCCACTGTGTTGTCAGCTCCCCCAGCTGTTCCCCAGTGCTAGTCCACCCACTGAGTCTAGTCAGCCTATCTAGAGTTCCTTGTTTTAGGAAGATCAGCTCTTCTTCATCCAGCAGCAATCAGTTGCCAACATTCCTTCAGATAAGATTGGGGTTGCTGTTCATTTTCCAAGTTCTTGTTGGGATATTGTCTTCCTGAGTTTGCATGAGACTTGTGTATGCTGACACCATTGCCATAGAATCATATGACCAGGTTCCCAGGAGCTTGTAGGTGGTAAAGGAAAATGAGATCATGAAATTTGGAGCTAAATGGATGGAACTAGAAACTGTTATACTAAGTGAAGTAACACAGATTCAGAAAAACAAATGACATATGTTCCCCTCATTATGTGGATCCTAGCATGAAAGCTTTATAAGTGAGTATGGATCCAGGCATAACTACAGGAACCAGAATAATGAAAAGTAATCAGGGAGGTAAAGAGAAAGAAGGAACCTGAGAGAGAAGAACAGTAGAAAACAAGGGTCACTAAGGCAGAAATGGATAAAAATGGGATTATTTAAGTGGGAGGGGGATGGGACGGTTATACAAGAAACCTTGTGGATAAAGGGAAAGGAGCTCAAGAGAGGTGAGACCACATAGGAAATGGGTATTATCAAGAGAGAAATGGGGGAAATGGGGACACTTTAAATGGGGAAACCATGGCAGAAGGGTTAGACAGTGAGAGAAGAGAGATAAATAATGTCTAGCTAGTCAAAAAAAAAAAAAAGAGAGAGAGAGAGAGAACCATATTAGCCCAACTACCTACTGACAAATTATACATGCATTATCTCTACATGAGTCCATGTGCATAGCTAAAGGCTACATAACAAGAAATAGTTCTGGACACTAAGATACCTTTCTTTGAGTTGTTGGTTAGGGTGGTCCAAGAGACTCCCAAATTTACTCATGCTATTGCCAAAGCCCTTGACGGCCTCCCCAGAACTTGAAAATAATAGCTTACTGCCAAAGACAGAACATACTTCAGACACAGGATTTGGAGCAATAGAGCTGCAACTGAAACCACTTCCCCTGAAGGCAGCTCTCATAGCTTTGGAGAGTTCTATGAAGGTGCCAAGGGAAAACATCAGTGGATGATCCAACACCAGCTTCAAGACCAAATAACCACATCAATGGCCAACACAGCATATGTCATTGGTGCAGTAGTGACACTTTTATCTTGGGGACAATCAACAGATACCTAATTTGACTAAAAGCCCACTCAATGGGAGGAAACTCAAGTGTGATACTGTAAACATAACCTAATACACATGGCTGCAGTGGTCATAGATCTTAGGAAAAAACTGAAGACTGTCATATCGCTAGACTAGTGTGATTTCTTACTATGTGCAAAATATGTATCCTTATATTTACAGACAAGTATCCCAGTCACCACTCATCAAAGAAGCTCATTTTGCACCAGTCAGAGACTATTATCAAGTGGTCACACCTAGTGTATTCTTTATCCTAGATTTTTCCTTTCGGTTTTGAATTGCTGTCTTGGACATGCCTATCTTGGTCATTTAGGGAAGATATTACAAGGCCCCTACTTTACAAATGAACAAACACAGTAGAGGAGAGGGAGGAACATACCTTAGTTGATAAACTAAAAGCCAGCCATGTTAATGCTGTAAGAGGCTGATGTCTTTGGTTAAAAATATTCTTTTTTAAATAAATGATTTACTGAGAATTTCATGCATGCATGTAAGCTGTTTTGATCAAATCCATGCCCACTCCCTCCTCTCCAACTCCTCTTGTATCTCCCCATCACTTTTTTTCTGATAACTTCATGTACTCTTCTCCTTTAATTAATTAAATAATTTATTTATTTATTTTTATGGGGCTTTTGGCTACTCTAACATTCCCCCTTCTGAAAAGGTAACCATAAAATCTTTTAAGGATTAGAAAAATTCTAGAGTTTTTGATCCAATGATCTCTTGTCTTCTGTACCACTCTTTCACACTGGCCTGTCATCAAATATAGATGATCTATTCAGCTAAGAATAGGTTTTTCTCATGCTGCTCATGACATCCACACTTTTATTCTTTAACAAATTACAGATTTTTTTTAAAAAATTGCATAATCATTTAAGAGAGCCTTAAATAATTCTCAAAGAAAACCACTATCGATCAGAACTCCAATAATGTATTTGTAAAAATTAAACATTTTAGCGATATGCTATGAACTGAAAAATGTTAGTGGAGTCTTCCATTTTATTATATTTGCTAGAGGAAATGTCCAGGAGCTAAAGTTTTATTGTTGACACCTTAGAGATATGATAGTCATGGAAGGAGTAAGGACCTTGGGATTGTTTAAAATGTGGTTTTATGAAGACAGATGGCCTATTTTGTATATTTTTCTTTTTTATTAGTAGTAGAAGCAGATAATTATAGTCAAATAACATTACTACCAAGATAATTAAATTGGCTTTACTAGTTTTGTGTTTGATTTTTGCTCATCCTTAGAACAGAGAATGACCTGACCTCCCTGCTATGAGCAAAGGAGGGATTTTTCTTCCTTTCATGCCTGCTTGAAGTACAGCTCCTTTACTAATAATAATGAATATCACATTTTAAGATGGCTAATGTTACATTCCACTGCAGGGAGATAGTTGAAATTTCTGAGAGATGGTTGCACTCTGAATCCTTTGCATTCAACATGTGTTTTCTGAACATCTAATATATACTAGTAAGACACTCTAGTAGATGTTAGACACATGAAAGTGACTATGAACCAAGCCTTAGAGTCAGACCAAAAGAAATACATGAGACAAGAATTAATTACAAGCACAAGTTTAGTGAAGAAGTGAAGAAGTTAGGAAAGATGTCATGGAAGAGACTACTTTGGGTATAGTCCCAGGTATTCATCCAGTGCAAGAATAAAGAAAAGCACTTCACACAGAGGGAGTAATGATTCAGGGACACAAAAGTGTGAAAGTTGGGAGCTGTAAGTTCAGGAGGTAAAGATCTGAAAGCATATGAAGATGAATAAAAACAGTTTTTTGAGTTCTGAAAAACCTTAATTTTGAAGTCATTTTATTGTTTTTCTGTCCTCCAGTTCTTTAAGAAGTCTAGTTTGTTATAAAATGTGATATCATTTTAATCTCATGCACTGCTTAATTGCTTTAGTAACCACTTAAAGACAATTTTCACATATTCCTTCTTACTTCTCTGGTGAGCCAGAAAGCTGCCAGCATAAAAGTGATCAGACAAAGAACTGAATGGTAACAGTTAAGCCTTCCTCTCAAAACAGGAAGTGGGGGCCCATGCAAGATCAAATGCTAAGATGTTTGAGCACTGTAATGTAGGTGTTAATGTGTTATTATAAAATGTTATAAAATCAGTCAGTAAAACCTAGCAGTACTAAGTCTAAACCATGGGATCGAGGCAAAGGTACGGTGACATGAAAGTGGGGGCTAGTAGTCTAGTTTATTTGTATTTATTTTGATGCTTGACCTCAAACCCAGGGCCTTGCACATGCTAGATAAGGACACTACAACTCAGCCCAAGGCCAATAGCTAACATTCTTTTGCAGATTATTATGCAGGGCAGTGAAGATGTCTTAAAAGGGATTTTTATATCAGGACACATTTTCACATGACATGGGATGGTTGGCTGTGCATTCTTAATCATCAGTAACATTATCATTTTTTACCTATGAAAGTACTTTTATATATAGGTGATCAGGTATCACTGTCCAGCAAATCATCCATTTTAGGGAGCCCTATGCATTAGTTCAAACAGGCTTCTCTGAACTAGTCTATTAGGTGCAGGGAAAAAGAAGGAAAAAATGAAAAGAGAAAAAAGGAATGCAAGAGAGGGAGGAGGAAAGGAAGAAGAGAAAAGGGAGGAAGGCAGGAAAGAAAAGAGAGAAGAAGGGAGGAAGGAAAAAAGGAGATTCTATTCTTAGCTCTTCCTCTTTTGAGATTGAGAAGAGTATGCTAATTTGCCAGAGGGAAGTCTAAAAATTTATGAGCAATGTTTATTTTCAGGAGATTCTGTAGCAATGGGAATAGTTGAAGGTCAAGTGAAGAGAAGTTATTCCTGTGGAAATTGCACCCTATGTAGTCATTTGGGACCTATCTCCTTCAGAATATGCAATTTTTTTCTCATGCTATATAGGATTGATAACCTTCACATCTTCTGTAGACAGGAAATGTCAAGATGCCATGAAAATAACTGCTTAAGGGCATGTCTAGAAAATAGTTCAGTCCTCAGGCCACGTGGATGAAGCCAAAGAATCCATTGTCAGCAGGAAAGAAGCCATCAAAGCAGTTTTTCACAATTAACCCTCATTAGAACTTTTGAAGAAGGGATTTGATAAGAAAATTATTAGTTCATGCTAGAATAGAAGATGGAAATGACCAATTGTGACTATTTTATGTAATGCAGAGATCATTCATGGGCTAGGTAGGACTTTTATGGTGCCCTGAGAGTTCTTGGATCACTTTTGATGACCACTTGCCCACTGTACTTTACTGTGGAGTTTATTTTCTTGGATACTCTGTGCCTGTGCTCTACAGCTGGAAATGTTTTGCTTTCAGATAGGCTGGAAATGAAACTTCAGGTCTTCAACTAACAGGAAAAGTTCAAAACTTTTCGGCTAAAATGTTCGTATGTTATTCACTGGATTGTCTGGAACTAATTGTTGGTCAGTGCCTTGAACTGAATTTTTGTGTTTCCATAAGATTCACATGTTGAAGTTTTAGTGTCCCCACCCCTAAATTCTGCCTCAAGTATAACAACATTTGAGGTTGAGGCCTTTGGGAATCAATACGGTCATCAGGGTGGGGTCCTCGTGATGGGATTAGAGATCTTGTAAGAAGATAGCCCACTGGTGAAATAGTGGCATGGATGTTCTGGGGGTAACCAACCACTCTTGGATTGTCTTTTAAGCTCTCCATAGGAAGGAATATGTGCCTGGTGTTGTAAACCCAGTCAAAAATTCATGGCTGTGGATATCATAGGCCCTAGAGAGGAATTCCCTACTATTGTAAAGCTAAATTGATATGGTGCCAAACTGCATTCTAAATATTCATGTTTATAGCCATAAACAATGCTACCCTCATCCTTAATCAGAGAAGCTTCTCTGCAGTGAATGGTGATGAGTGCAGAGACTCATTGCCATTTAAATATTGAAATTTATAACCATAGACACCAATGACATAGGACATTAAGACCTCCAATTCTAGGGCTCAGAGAACATTGCCAAAGAGGGAGCAGAAAGAATGTAATAGCCAGAAGATAGGGAGAAGAGTGCAAAATGGTACCTTCAGGGTGTGGCATAGCTATGATCTCACAAAAGGAGACTGCTTGCCTGCCTTGGATCTGCACAAGACTGGACCCGTCAATAGCGGGCCCCTCCCACTCCCAGCTGAACTATTGACTACTTACATATTCTGGAGGAGAGAAAGTTATTGTCTTCAGTTGTGTGGGTACCCAGAGGTGAGCCCACCAGGATCTGTTGGATAATAGTTCCAAATCAGTGGTCACATAGACAATTTAGATTAAAATCAGCAGGTCACAAAACAAAACAAAAAGGCATAAATTTGAAAATGGAGTTATATGTTAAAATTAGGGGAGGAAATGACAGGGATCAAAAGGAAACTTTTAAAAGGGATTTAGAAGAGAGAGTAAACAGAACATTATACACATGTATGAATTCATCAAAGAACAAATTTAATCAATAAACATTTGACATCTGAGGTGGGAGATAAGAAGGCAGACCTCCCTCTCCCTCACATCCCCATACCCAGATCTTTCCCTCCACCCACATTCCCATATCAAGGAGAAGTCATGCATGGAGATAGCAAGAATGTGACAGTATCTAAGACAGGAAGAGAGACCTCAGCAGAAGCCAAATCATTTGGCCCTATAAGCATCATTTTTTAGCTTCCAGAGCATGAGAAAATAACATTTTGTTATTCAAGCCACCTAGACTATGATTTTTTATTTATTATTTTTATTTCATGTCTATGAGTGTATTGCCCACATGTAAGTGCACCCGTGTCATGCAATGCCTGCAGAGGTAAGAAGAAGGCATCAGATTCCTCTGGAACTGGAGTTATGGACAGGTGTTAGCCACCATGTGGGTGCTCGGAATCAAATCTGGGTCCTCTGCAAGAGCAGCCTGTGCTCTTAACCACTGAGCCAGCCCTAGACCTCCAGCCCTAGACTATGATGTTTTGTAATGACAACCTGAGCAGACTAAAATAGTCAGAATATTCTTTTCTTCCTAGAAAGTATAGCGAGTTGTGCCTTTTATTTTTCCTGAAATGCTCAGCATTCCAGCCGCACATACACACACACACACACACACACACACACACACACACACACACACACACACCATACATAGACTTTATAAGAGATGTTAAATTATTTTCTGAATTACTTTTCAAGAAGCTGGAAATGACTTTGAGTTACCTATGACTGACTGAGAAATAAATATGCAATAGAGGGAAAGTCCACTTCATTTAAAAGTTTCAATTTTCCCCCAGAGAACATATTTAGGAGTCTCTGTGCCACATTTTTGGTCATCACTGCAACAGACTCTGGTCTGGACAGATGCATAAGTATTCTCTCTCTCTCTCTCTCTCTCTCTCTCTCTCTCTCTCTCTCCTGTATTTATAAGTTTATTATACTGGTTGAAATTCTGATTTCAAAATATAATGAGATAAATTGAGGAATTCTTATATTTAATTCAAACATTCTACACAAGAGGGAACTTGATTTGAAAGACTGATGGAGATGGGGACTATGTTTCCTATCTAGCAAGGGGATTTGTAGCAAGTCTAAGACAGGAAGCAAACCAATAGGGTACTGCAGATAGGACTCATAGACATTTTTCAGATGCTTGTGTAAATGTGGTTTAGTTCATCACTTCCTCCAATTATGTTTGTGTCTGCTCCAAAGCACAGCTTTGCTTCCATTTCTGAAAAAGCACCAGTTGAACTATCTTAGCTTTTGGAATAAAATCACTTAAAACATTACATTATTAAATTCTTTGTGAAATGTTTTATATTTCTGCAGTAATCATGGTGTAGGTAAGAGAATGTTGTCATCCTTTACTTCTGAAAATAAAATTTTTATTTCTAATCCACTTATTAAGAGGATTCGAAATACAACTATATCCATCATATCACACAACTTTTTGGATCAGTACTGGCCTTGCTAAATACTTGCAAACAAAACTGTAGCTTTCTTTTTTGTGAAGTTTTTTTCTTAGACTAAAATATTTTATCTACATTAAATGTGCAAGAATTATTCTGTCATGGAAGAGTAAAGATTTAGAAAAAAATGTCTTTCTGTCTTTCTGTCACACAGTTTTCTCATCTGTAAAATGGAGATAATAGATCTCATTTCATAGGTAATATGACAAGGCATTTCACAACAGTAAGTAGTGAAAAGCATGTAATATATAGGCACAGTCAAACAGAAAGAACCCTTTTCAAGCATATTTGGTCCACCCTAAAAACCAAAATTAATATATTATCTACAGATATTATTGAATCCACCTAGTTCCATCATCTTTCTTAATATGTTAAGACAATGTTTAAAACACTCAGAGATGAGCTGGGTGTAGTGATGCACGCCTTTAATCCCAGCACTCAGGAGGCAGAGGCAGGTGGATCCCTATAAGACTGAGGCCAGCCTTGTCTACACAGTGAGTTCCGGGACAACTGGGGCTATAGGGAGACCCTGTCTCAAAAAAACCAAAAACAAAGCAAAATTTGAAGATAATGAAAGACTAATGAACAACAAATGAGTACTGAATTAACTACCTTCTGCTTTGACGTTCACCTTTATGATCCATGATTTATGTTATGTTCAGCTATTAACCCATTTGGCTACTCTTTCTGTTGTTTCTAACTTAGATCAAACTTGTATCATCACCATTTCTCTTCTTTCAGTTATTTCTGTTGCTCACTCTAATCCTTCCTCCTGTCCCACACTTAAATATATTAATCCTTCCTCCTGTCCCACACTTAAATGTATGTGTGTGTGTGTGTGTGTGTGTGTGTGTGTGTGTGTGTAAGGAATTTATACCATCCCACCTCATGCAGTTGCTTGTATTCATTGGTCTTCTGACTGTATGAAACACAGCTGACTCCATACTAGAATCTCTATGTCAAGGTGCAGGGGCAAATGGTTTTATGTGAGGGCATGCTAATTTAAAGGCACTTTTGGAAGCTAATGGCTGCTAGGAGGAGGCAAGACAATCTCTTACAGGGATGGGACTCTTGGTGAGCTGACCAGGCTCCAGTAAATAGACCCACACTGAGGGACATGTGGGGATATAAATCAGACTCTATAGGTCATATTATGCATATAGTAGAGTACATTGAATTGGCCAGGGGGAGGGCAGTGTGAGCACGTGATGATGAAGGAGATGATCTAAATATCATCAAATTATATGAAAATTGCAAAAATTCAATTAATTTTAATTTTAATTTTTTTTTTAAAGATGCGGGTCTGGTATTGCTGCTTGAAATCACAGGTGAGCAGAAGACAGTGGTACATCTTTGGATCTGAGCTGGTGACCTGAACAAAGTTCTAGCACTTGTTAATTACCCCAGAACAATTCTAACCCTTAGAGTTGTGCCTTGCTGCTTATTTGAAAACGGACATTAAAGAGAAGAAAAAGAGCTGACAACCTAGCATGAACTGATGACCTTTAGAAAATCACTGCGAGTCCTGTCCAAGCATACTCACTGTGAGGACTGGCTTTGGGAATACATTATTTATCAGAATTTCTTCTCAGAAGGTTCCTTGTTAAGAAAAATCCTTGGTTAGCAGAAGATGATTTAGGACAAAGATTGTGATTAGACTGCATGTTTATCCTTCTATGCTTTTTAATTGAAATTCTGGCAAAATAACATGGCAATGGGATCTGAGAGTACAGTGGACTATAAGATCTATACTTAGAAAAATATCTTGCTTTTTGAATTTCAACATCTATTCATGAGGAGTTAGTAATATTTAACTCATTACAATGTTGTGATGACTAAATGAAAATTTTTTGCTGTTTTAGATATATTGGACATTTTTATAATTTTCCTCTTTTTTATATTTTTATTTATTTATTTATTTTTGTGTGTATGAGTGTATTGCCTGCATGTGTATAAGTGCACCCATGTTGTGCAATGTCTTCAGAGGTCAAAAGACAGTGCTGGATCCCATGGAACTTGAGTTATGGATGGTTATTAGCCACCATGTGGGTGCTTGGAATTTAACCCAGGTCCCTTGCAAGAGTAGTCAGTGCTCTTAACTGCTGAGCTATCTCTCCAGCCCCATAATTTTAAGGGTTTTTAAAATTTTTAGTTTTGAGTGTATGTGTGTGGGGGTGTGTGTGCATGTGAGTCAAGTGTTCACAGAGGCCAGAAAAGGTCATTCGATCCCCTGGAATTGGAATTAGATGGTTGTAAGCCACCTGACCTGGGTGCTAGGAACCAAACATGGGTCCTCTGTAAGAGCTGTATACACTTTTAACTGCTGACCCATCTCTCCAGCCCTGTTTTCATTTATTTTTATTTTCAATATGTGATTTTGATATTATTATTTGAGTAGTTAAGTTCTCAAAGCTTTGTTTTCCTTCAATTTTCCCTTTGGTACAGAGATACATAAACTGCATGTTCTCTGCTCTGCTTAGAAGGTGCTTGGTAAATAGTTGACAGGAAAGCATTGTATTAGAAGGTAGTGAAGGTTAGGGTTGCTATGGCTTCATGTTATCTACAGTTTGTCTCATCACAATGATTTTACAGGTCTTCAAGTGTTGTGCTTAATGGATGGCTAATGCAACAAGATTGCAAGTTGGAAAACACACAAGTTGTTTGAATTGAATTATTGCAAAATTACATGATTTGAAAAAACTTTTCTAGTTCAGTATCCAAGCTGCAAATTATTTTGAAATTCTGGTTCTATGAGGAAGGCACACATCTGTCAGCCATGGTGCTGCCTTCAGGAAACTTACAGTCCAAGAGAAGCTCTGTTTTCACCGACAACTGTGTCAAATCAGAAGATGTGTAGTTATCTTTCAATTCAAAACGGACTTTTGTGCTGTCTCTGAAAGACTGTCCCCTTCTCAGTTCATATCCTGGTTGTTGAATGTCTTTATTGGATACGCTGTGACACTGGTTCCTTTATACTTTATGTGTTTATCAACCGAGAATACCTAAGTTACCTATCATTTCAACCATTAATCTTTTCTTTGTGACAAGAGCATTCAAAAATTCTCTCTTCTGGAGGTTTTGAGTTATATGACACAATATTCTTAAGGAAAATCATGCTCTGTATAGTAGGACACCAGAACTTATGACTGTGAATTAACCATTGTTCCTCTACGTCATCCCTTCTTCTCCTCCATGCCCCTGGACACTAGCAACCACTATTTTACTGTCTACTTCTATGAGCTCAGTTTTTAAAGGCTTTAATATGGGTGAAATTATAGATTTGTCTGCTCTACAGACATCTTTAAGTCATTCTGTCAAAGGGACTGGGTAGTAGGGAAGAAGCAAGGGAGAGAATTTAAGTCTGTTAACTGTATATTATGAGCCAAGTACAGTATTAGGCACTTCCTGTCCATTGTTTTACTTAATTCTAAAAATAATACAAAGAGTTGGATTGTGCCTTTTTGGATGAAAAAAGGATGCAAAAACTGCCTTGTCTAAGATCACACACCCAATAGGTACTAGAGACAAGATATCATTTACTAATAAGGGAAGGGTATACAATTGTTTTAATTTGTTTATTTGTTTAATTTAATTGAAAATTCTAAACAAAGGTTTTGAGCATCTCACTTTCTCCAG